TCTTAAAGTCCTCCATCACTTTGGTTCATTACAGAGAAAATCATAAAACTGAAGATGAACAAATTCTATAAAGCTGTGACCTCCATTCTCCTGAAATCATCCCTGATGTTCTCGTCACTGTTTTCAATCTTCTGAGGATCCAGCGTCTCTCCTCCGGTGGTTTATTGTCGTCCAGACACAAAGTAGGACGCAGGTTTTCCTCCGTCGGCCGTTTGTCAACAAGTGAAATGAGCTCACATGCAGAGTTTAGGTGTTCTCTTTAAGTTCACATGTTTCAGACACGTTCTTCTTAACTCCATCTGTAGGTAGAAGATGAAACTAGACCTCTTTTCACAGGAACTCTTTTTGTTTTGGTCCGTGTTCAAAATTCTGTTGTTGTAGCCACTGATTTAGTTTGGTCTGCTTGTTAGTGCAGCCGTGAACACAACAGGTACCTGAACTCAGCACGGCTGTTTTAGTAAACTTTATGCTTGTTAAATGTGAACAAAACAAAAACAAGAGTTTTATCTGCTAAACTGAATGCAAATTACTTTCAAATAAACCGTGGTCTGTGCTCTGCTACCATGGTTAACCAGTGCTGACTGCTACTTCCTGTCTGACAGGAAGTTGTACCCAAAACCATTTATACAATAGAGCCCCAGGAGTAAGGTGGATAGTGTTTTAAGAACCTGAAGGTCAGTTTTTGTGTGTCTGTACCAGCAACATGTGTTGTATGAATCACTGCAGAAACCTTGTACATGGCCCAGTGAGTCAGTCCCTGTGAGTGTTGGTTTATTTCTGACGGATGGAGCAGCTTTCTTAAAGGAGAACCCACCAGTCATCCACAGAGCTCTGCAAATAGTGCTGTTAGCCTGAACAAACAGTGGTTTACAGTTTTCTTAATCTCACATTCCTTCTCTAGCTCCCGTGCTATCAACTGTTTTATAATAAAGAGTGTTTTGTCTTTACATCCTTCACATTTAAAGCTTAAAAAAATCTAATGTTTGAAACCAGGATTCAATCTGCGATTCACTTATTTATGGGTTGTTGTGCCTGGTGTCTGTCTGAAATAATTTATCAGAGTTATGTCATAGAAATTTTACATTCCTACCGTGTATTTATAATAAAGTACTTTTCCATCACTTTTTCAGACGGTGGCCATTCCTGGTCCAAAGCTGAAGCCATGGGAGGAGTTTGAATCCCTCAACTATGAAGTTCCCAAACCGGCCGCTGTTCAGTGGAATAAGTAGGTCACCAGGGGACAGTGCCCGTTTCTTTAAACCCCAGCTGGACGTTTGGCCGAGGATCCAAGCTGCTTTTAGCTGTTGCAAGAAGTCCTGTGGCGTTTGAGAGCCTCAGAACAGCAGCTGAGATTGAGCTGTGTTCTGAAGCCTCTTTATCAACAGTATCATTAAAGTTTCTTCTGTTAGAATTGTGTCTTCTCCGTTTTGTGTTTCACATGAGACAAAATGAACCTATAATATTAATATGGAATGAAAAAAGAAAACGGATGTACATAAACAAAAGTTTATTCACGAATACACAATGACCAAAAAACAATGTACTTAAAATCCTGCTTTTTTTACAGCAACACATGTCAGAAAACCAAGGAGTGTGCCACAACAACTTCTTTATGTAGAAAACATGCGACGATGCTTCGATAGGATGTCGCCACACTGACGGAAAACAATGCCATGTTTAACAACGGCGTCACAAAATTATGTTGCTCTTAGAAAACAAGGGAAATAGTTTCAAAGTAAAATGCATCAGAACACATCTGACATTTGCATTTATTGTGGTCCTTGAACGTTCGTCAAGACTTTATGATTTTTTATTTCTGCATCAATATGAACTAAAACATCAGATTTTCACACAAGTCCTAAAAGTAGATAAAGAGAACCCAGTAACAATATTATACTTAATCATTTGTTTATTGAGGACAATGGTCCAATATTTGAGTGGTGACCCTCTAGAATTATTAACTTGAAGTTGGAGTCGGGTGTTTTCAATCGGTGCATGATGATCAGGTGACCTGTCATTTAAAGAACAGGATCCATCAGAGTTGCTCTTCGGGTGACGGTGACGCCGGTGAGGAGTGAAGGCTGGCGCTCGACAAACATTTGGAAGAAAGTGGTTGATCTTTCATTGAAGAAGGGAGTGTCGGACGAAAAGAAACGAGCGGTTTGGCACAAACTGGTTTAGTGACGAATGGAATGGCGGCTCGAGTAGAGGAAGACGATGAGGATATGGATTTGAATGTTGGATTCAGGTTGTTGGTGGAAGTGGACGAATCGGGTGAGAAAATGAAAGTGTTAGGGACGCAGGTTAGTAAAAGAACTTTGGAAGAAAACAGTTCTGATGAAGGGACACGTGTGGTCCGCAAGAAGGAATTTAAAGTAATTCTGAAATTTAAAGAAGACGACGACGACACACAGCTTGGTCTGATGGCACTGTCAAGAACTCACAAGATTAGAGATAGAGATGGGAATGTACGGATCGTTTGTAAATCTGAAGAACATAAAAACAAAGCTCAGAATATTGAAAGTGTAGAAAAACTGAGAGGAAAGGATGTTGGGAGAGAAGAAAGTAACAGCAATACCTGTGAATGAAAAAGAGCATCAGGGTGCAGAGGTGAATCAGATAAAAAGATTGTTGAGAACAATTAATGGAGAAGGAACTGAAAGCCTGTCTATAATGATAGAATTTCACAATAATGTACTTCCAGAGAAGGTTAAGATCGGATTCATGAGCTTTCCAGTTAGGCCTTATGTCCCTCCCCCACTCAGGTGTACAAGTGTCAAAGATATGGACAAATAGCAGCAGAGAAGGTGTCCAAGATGTGGAGGTGATCATAGATATGAGGAGTGTGGTGACAGTACTCAAGTGTTGTAACTGTGGAGGACGGCATAGAGTGACTTGGAGGATGTGAAGTTAGAAAATGTGGAGCAAATGAAGACGATCAATAATATGAGCTATGATGAAGCTGTGGAAAAAGATCAGATTGGAAGGAGAGAGGTGAACGTACAACCAGAGGTGGAACGAGTACTGAAAATTTGTACTCAAGTACAAGTACTGGTACACTGCTTAAATTGTACAAATGTCAAGTAAAAGTAATGGTGTTGTAAAAATATTTAGGTAAAAGTACAAAGTACTCTTCTCAGAGTATTAATTACTTTTTAACCAACAGATGTTTTATTGTGTAGAAGACGTTCCGTTTGATTTGCTGTATATAAAAACTACGCTCAGAGCTCATTTCTCAGAAGCTCCGTCTTATTTTAGTACCAGACAAACCGCTGGCACTGACAATATCTAAGATCTCTGCATACTTAGACAAACTAATAACCCACACATACAAACAATAAAAAG